CACTGTAAGTTTGTTTCTCGTAGGCCATATGTTTATTATTACCGAGATTTATTTTTGAGCCTTTTATATTAGTGCTTTATAGATTGTAGTTTTTATAGATTTATAAATTTATAATTTGAAAGTTAAGGTCGATTTTATTTACCATGTATTTTGTCTCCCACAGTTCTTATTATGGAGTTGTTTTACTTATGAGAAAGGCTCAAAATACTTTTGAAATCATTTACAAAATCAAGAATCTTTGCCTGTTTTTTGCCCAATAAGGAAAAGGCAAAATGTAAAAATAACACACCTAATTGAAATGGAAAAGTTACCAAACATTGGACTACAAAGGAAAACTTTTAGTTTCTTTTAAAATATTGCCATCCTGATACAGGTTTGATAACATGGAAAAGAAGCCATTATGTTCTAGCTCTCATTTAGGTGGCTTTTTAATTCTTTGCATAGAAACACATCTAATTATGCATTGGTTCTGAATATAACTCTTAACCGTGCATGTGTGTGCATGCACACACTTTTGATATTTTGCGTTCAGTTTTTTTGGTTTTGGTTGTGTTTTCTTGTTGTTTTTTATGAACTTGATCTTGAATTAGAGGCAAGTAGCATCTTTCCTTTCCTTCCTGCCTTCCTTTCTTTTGTTTGTTCTTTTGTTCTTTCATTCTTTTTTGCCTGCCTCTTCATTCTTTTTTTTTTCCTTTCTTTAGGTAACCTCTTTAATTCATGTTTCTCTATTTTGTGATATGAATATTTAGATAGATTTTGGCCTCAAGTTGACAATGGGAGAAATCTTGGCAGGAAAGATAATGATTAAGACTAGAAAGATCTTTTTAAGGTTTATATAATAACCTTTTCAAGTAACTATTTTTTGGAAGGTTGTATTAGCTATGTCAGTTTATGGAGGAGCCTGTGTCAAAGCTGCTACATATGGTTTTATAGAAGTCAGGTCATCAAGATTTCATATTTTCCCCATGCTTTTGACAACATGCATCTGTCTATTTTGGGGATGTGATGAATGGAAGAGTTAACCTAATCTTTATTAAGTGTGTTCATTTTAAACTGTGTTTCATTATATCTAATATATTTGATTGACTTAAAAACAAAGGGTTATATAGTTACGTGTTGCTTAACAACAGGGATACATTATGAGAAATGCATCATCAGGCAATTTTGTCATTCTGTGAACATCATACAGTTTACTTACACAAATCTAGATGGTATAGCTTGCTACACACTTAGGCTATATGGTATAGCCATTATAATGGCTGTTATAATGACCATGATATATACTGTCTGTTGTTAACTAAAACATGGTTATGTAGCACATGACTGTATGCTAAGGGACTACTATGATGAATCTTCTTTGTAGATTCGAATTTGTAATACCTTAAGGTTTGGTAGAAGCCAAGTGTTCACTTGTCTAGTATAATATAGTTAGCTTTATTTTTTTTCCTTTTTTAATTTTACTTACTATTTTAAAATTTTTTTGAAAATTTATTTATTTAGCTTTACTTTAGAGTGATGTTTTAATGTGTTATGATATCTCTCTCCACTAAACTAGACCTTTTTTAGTGTACAGCTAGCTCATAGTTTAGTTTATATATATATAATGTAATAGAGAGGTGGTAAGATTTGTGTGTGTAATAACAAAATGTGATTTAATTCAAACATGCTAATCCCCACAGTCTTACTGTTTTACTGACAGCTCGTTTGTATTTTAAGTTTAGGAACTGCAGTTTCTGTAATGGCCAAGATTCCACTGTTGGAGTGTCTAACCAGACATAGTTACCGGGAATGTTTGGGAAGACTGGATTCTTTACCTGAACATGAAGCAGAGAAGGCTGAGACGAAAAGATCCACTGAACTGGTGCTCTCTCCTGATATGCCTACAACAACTAACAAATCCTTGTTAACCTCATTTCACAAGTCAGTGGAACATGTAGCCCCAGATGCCACAGATGTTGAAAGTAGAAAAGAAGTTAGGGAGTCTTGTCAGAGTACTGTCCAGCACAATGAGACTTCAGCAGATGCTAAGGACGACGATCTGCCCTTTTTCAATGTTTCTTTGTTAGACTGGATAAATGTTCAAGATAGACCTAATGATGTGGAATCTTTGGTTAGAAAGTGCTTTGATTCTATGAGCAGGGTAAGTAATGCTGATTTGATATTTCTTATGACTTTACTTTAAATTGTATTACTTATTTATAGTAAATATTTTATATAATAGGAGAACGAGTACTATAGTAAAATTAAGAGGCCTTGGAGTGAAGCTTTTTAACGTAAGTTGAATCAAATTATTTAATTTGTAACCTTATTTATTAATTGACTGTAAATTTGTGAAGATTAAAGGTAAAATTTCTAGTGGTATGAAAATGATTTATATGCAATAAGGGAGTAGCCATCACCCAAAAGAAGATATTAAATATTACCATCACCCAGAGAGTCCCCTTGTGCCTCTTTACAATCACCATCTCCCTAGAGAAAACCATTTTCTGATTTTTTTTTTTTTGGCGGCTGGCCAGTAAGAAGATCTGAACCCTTGACCTTAGGGTTACCAGCACCACACTCTCCCAAGTGGGCTAACCGGCCAGCTCCCTCTTTCTGACTTTTTAAAGAAGAAATTTTAAATACTGTATCTGCTGGAGATCTTTAAAATAGAAAACTTAGATGTGATTTGTATTTTATAATTGTGTTTATGTTTTGGATATTATGTTTTAGAGCTTACTTTTTGGATAAACTTGCAAAAACTTTTACCTGAAAATAAATACCTCTTCATATCCGATCCACAAGCTGATACAAAATTTCTGAAGCCAGAAATGAAGTTGATAGGGCACATGTTTCAGTGATGCAGAAAAATTAAATAAGTCTTGAAGGTTGCTTTTGTCAAAAGATAATGGTAAGAATAGTTATTAAACTTTTCTCCAGGGGCATTCATTTGGAAAAGAGATTTGATCTTTGATTCGCTCTTGAGAGAAAGACAGCACATTGTCTGGGATGCCCAGAAAACAGCATACACTTTTCTTGTTTAAGTTATATGACATAGAAAAATGGAAAAATTTAAGAAACGTAGGTTTCTTAATTCTTTCAGTATCCATTTCCTTGACATCCTATAGAGTAGGCATTTGAATCAATTAAGATATGTTTGCCAGGAAAGCAAAGTGTATACTATATTTTGCAAAGATTACTGACAAAAATGAATGAAAGCTAGTGTTTCTGCTTAAACTATTGACATTTGGTAGCCTAAAAATTTCTTTTATGATTGTAGATAATCACCCACTTGATTGTGATCAGGATAATTGAGGTGTCACTTTTTATAGTTAAAACTGCCAGAAGTCAGAGTATGGTTGCAGACTCTGAGGAGAACCTGAAATCTAGCAGAGTCATAGGTTTTCTTCACTTTATTTGTCAAGAAGAAAGAAACAATGATCCTCTTCTGGCTTAATAATGAAAATTTGCAAGTATTTATACCTGTCGAAAACAGAAGTTAGCTATACTGTTTTTTAGTAGGAGATCACAATACTGACTTCTTAGAGGTTAAAGGTTACTTTCATAACATATAGCAACAACATCTGAAGGCTTTGCGTTATTTTATATGGCAATTATATTACAAACGTACAGTATAAACTTTCATTTGTTTATACCGGTTTGTTAAAAAATTAGTTAACATGACATAAAATGTTGCCTATAATGCTTCACTCAGTTGCACATGCTCTTTAGACTAAAAGAACATTATTTGCTGTAAAGTAGTGAAAACTCATTTTTGGATGAGTTTGTTTTTATATTTTTGCTTACATTTTACACAATATGTGATGTTATGTAAATGAGATGTATCGCGTAAGAAATGGCACTTTGCCACTATGTTTTACATTAATATTTTTTTCCTTTCAGTAGTTCCATATACAAGTATTTATTCTTGATACCAGCAGTGGCATTTTTAAAGACTTATAGAACTGAGTATGGGCTTTCTCTCTGATTAGAGATGGTTCCTTTTTATCTCTACAACAACTAACCTGTTTGATACCTGATAGCAGTAGTGCTGTTTGCCAGTGAATTAATAAAATATGTGCCAAGGTTTGACGTTCCATAGAGCAAATTCTGTTTAAAGCCATCATTTTTACAGACTAATCCCAATTGCAGCAGTATTTGTCACAAGTATTTCCAATTGCCAAATTCAAATATGTTTCTCAGGAAATTAGTCAAGACAGGTATTTTGGAATTTAGGATTTAGAATCACAGGCCCTCAACTCTCGGCACTGCCATTTATGTATTAACCTCTGTCATATATAATGTTACTTAACAGTTTGAATTCCCAGTTTTATATTTGTAGGAGGTGACAGGTGCTAGTTTTGTGAATTATTTACCCCCCCCCCCCCCAATTTAATCTATCAGGAAAACCTTAGAATTGTTGTTGCATTTTTGTAGACACATAGTTTTTTAGGTTTCAGTGAGTTCTTGCTATAATGACTCTTGGATGTTCTATTTCAGATTATACTACAAAAGGCAAACTGATTTGTGTTTCTGATTAATAATTAGATTAATAATTAGAACTGATTAATAATTAGAAGTGTGTGCTAACTCACTTCTAAGCTGTCTGGATTAATGCTGGCATAATTTATCGAATCTTAGTATTTCAGTCAACTTGTGATCTTATGGAATATTATGAAACTTTTATTTTTATAGTTTCTTCTCTAAGGCAAGGATCATGTTAGCTTTATAGTTGTCAAAGAAAGCCCAAGGTTAAAAATTACTGTAGCACTAAGTGTTAAGCACTGAAAATTTGCTGAATAATTATTAATATGGTTAATTTGATTCTGTGGTTTCTATATATATTATCTAAAACATTTCTTCAATGACTTTATTCAGAAATTTTAAATTTTATTGCCAATGGAATAAAATACTAAATGCAACAAGATTTTTAGGAAGCCATGTTATGTAAACTTTATTCAGTGAATCATAAAATACTCTTTCATGTTTGTCAGTGCAGTTGTATTATACTTTCAATGAATTTTGACATACAGAAACATCATAATCAAGAGCCTTGGTTTTTGGTTTCTTTCATCTTGTTTAAATCATTCCTCTATTAAGTTTAGATATAGTTGCAATTGTGCTCAATTTGAAAATTTGAACTAATTTTCGTCATCTTTTCAGCTCTTTATCACTGTGATAATTTATAAGCAGATTCTGTTTTGCATAATACTGTCGAATGGAAATGTGTGCACATTGGAACTCAGTGACCACAAAATTGAGAAAAGTGAGAAAACCTGTACATATGCACAAATTTCAGTAAGACAATACTATGCAAAGTGAGTGCTGCCTATATATACATAAATAATAATATGACTGTTAACTTTTTTTGGTGGTGTTAGAAATGCAGCCTCTTATTAACTACTTGAATTCTTGATAATAACAGTGGAATAATAGTTCAGTTTTAACTGCTTTTGTATGCTCTGTGTAAAAGACACCATACATAAAATAAATAAGTCACAGTCCTTTTGACTGTAGAGATCAGAGAAGACATCATGAGGGAGGTGGTATTTGACTAGGACGTTTATACAGGGACAGAGGTGGACTTAAACAGCTAGGCAGTGTATGCAATGTGAACAAAGATCAGAGGTAGAAAAGCACAGGGTTTGTCTTGAAGTAACAGCTGATTCAGCTTGAAAATATGGTTGGCCTGGAAAGATTTACTGGTAACGAATTACTGAAGCTTTTATTCAACATTTATTGGATATTATTTGTGGGCAGAAGGAAGCCATTTGGGGCTTTTATCAGGAGACAGCCATAAGAAGTCAGTAGTAAAAAATATCATGGTTGATATCCACATGTAGATATTAGTAAACAGTCAGGAACACAGTCTGAGAATTTATGAGACAGATCAGGGATTGAAATAGGTTTGGGAGTTACCTCCATAGAAGTTATGCTTAATGCTGAAATCATATAGAGGATAGTAAAAACGGGCTAAGGACAAAGTCAGAGATAGAGGAAAAAGAGCCAGATAAGGATGCTGTGGGGGAAACAGTAGAGGGAATGTCCCAAAGTCTGTGGAGTTTGGAAAAGGTTGTCTGCTATGCTAAATGTACAAGAGCCTCTAGTAGAGTTGAGGTCATTGGTGAACTTTGGCCAAGCAGTTGTTATGGAAAATGAAGAGAAA